CCTGAAGTTTGTCATTATCAGCAAAGCAATAAGTTCTGTACAATATGTAGTTCCTTCAGAGCCACATTTTGTAAAAAAAACAACAACATATAGTTAAACCCAATATTTTTTGATAAATTACTTTGACACATTAATTGAAAATGATGTCATACTGTATTCGTTCACAATCAGGAGATGCTGCACTGTGCATTGGCAATAACTGTGAAATGCTGGATGTAATAGGAGATTAGAAGACACCAATATGTCTTTTAATCCCCTGTCTGTTTGTAATGTTTAACCCTTTTATGCATGAATTATAACAACCTCAATCAAGTATTTTTATTCATCTTTAGGCATAAAAAAAGATTTTTGAACTTCATTTTTTTAAAACATGTGCTTTTAAAAGAGCCACTTACACATGTCCACTGGTTGACCAGTAGGTGGCAGTGTTCAATGTAGTGGTTTATGTGCAAGTCAACACTGACACAAATACAAGAAAACAGCCTTTGAATAGCTGTCCACAGTAGTGACCACTGTCCGTGAAATGTACTGCTGCATGGGCTGGGCTGTAGTTACATCGTAAGGTTTTAAAAACTGAGCTTTCAAATGAATAGTGGTAATAAAAATCAAGAGAGGCCGATAGTGATCACTGCCTTTTTTAGGGCCTTGTTCAGATTAAATAGATCAAGCATTAAAACATGTTGAAAGCACAACAGCTTTAATAAACACAGAGTCGTTTGAACCTGGAAGCAGAGTTCATAGATCATCACTTAAAGACCAGATTGGTTTTCGTACGCTAATAGATAGAAGTTGTCATAAGAGGGAAAGATGAGAGACACCGCCCCCCCCACACTCATTGGATTAACATGTAACAGAGTTCCTATACTTATAAAACTGAAATCAACTTTGAAGGAAAAAAGCAGCAAAGTTTTTATAGGGTTTGGCAGCCATTTAACTTGTATGTAAGCATGTCAACAAATGAGCTCGCAGATGAGGGCAATAATTGTGCATTTATTCGTATAATTTTTTCCCCTAAGTTTTGTCATCTCATAGGGTTGGGGAGGTTTGTTTGTTGTTGCCATGAACTGGCTGTGTATCAGCCATACTGAGGACACCAAGTGCAGGACTCTGGAGACAAAATATGAATTTTACACAGCTTTTCTGCAGGGGCTTATGAACTTGAGAATAAAATACGATCTAAGAAGTACTATAGCTAGGATAAGGATCAGGATGCACACAGCATTAAGAGTATGTAAGACAACAATGTGACAAAGAACAGGGGGAAACTGAGGACTTACATACACATGAGGTAATCAGGGAGATGGAGCACACCAGGGACTACAGGTGAACTACATTTGATTAGCGAGACAGGGAGAGCAAAACTGAGGCTGTATCCCAATTCAGGGTCTGCAGCCTGAATTGGCCCACCAGGCAAATGCTCAGTGGGCCGAAGATGGTAGCTCACAGTGGACATAAATGGCTTCTTTCACTCCTCTTTCAAAACTTAAAGGTCACTCTTTCGAGGATGCCAATGTTCACATTTTGGACAGAGGACAGATGGTCCTCTTTGAACAGAGGCGGTGGTTTACGACACCAACTGTCTGCTATCTATAATCCAGTTTTGAGATCCCTTCCCAGACGCCTTAACGCCGACTGACACCCTGGGCCATATGACCTCAGGAAATCACATGATAGGGTGGGGCCAGGTTTCACAATGAGCTCACCCGAAACCTTGGCTGATTGTGACCAACACCCGTTTTCACACCTTGGCTCATGTGATTAGGTAGAGGATCATCAGGGGGTCCTTTGTCCCTCTTTGGGGGGGGGAACCTCCCACTGGGTTTAAATCTGGGACTCCACCATTTGACCCTTAGAACTGAAGAAGCTTCTTGGATGAGAGGTGAAACGTCTTCAAGCAATTTAAAGAAGTGTCATGATCCGGCTGTGTGCAGGCAGGAATTGGACCCAAATGCAAACTCACGGGGACAAAAACAAAAACACAGCTTTATTGCTGGAAAACAGATCACAAACAATACAAAACTAAACTGGGAAAAACGAATTATAATGTACACTAGGAGATACACGGAGAATCACACACAGCATGAGGGAAATCAGAACTGACGAGACAAGGAAGCAAAGTAGGATACACTCACATGAGACACAGACCTTCAAAGTAAAACAGGAAGTAGCACAGACGCAGACTTGACTAGGGGAGAGAGAGCAACTAAGAAACACAGAGAACAACAACAACAAAGAGACACGGAGGGCAGCTACTAAACACTCGGAAAACTAAACAGAATACAAGAAAGCCAAACTAAGACACTAGACTATAGAAAACTGGGGCAACAAAGAGAACTAAAATCATAATACAAAAACTCTGAGACACAAGAAACTCAACACTTTGTCACCGACCCAGAACCGTGACAAGAAGTCCAGACGCTTTTCTTTCCAAGCTCCTTAGAGTACGATGACCTGGATGACTGAGAACCTTCACAGACATTTTGTCTTTTGCTCAAGTTTGTTACATGATGCTGGAATCCTAATTGAACATTTGATTTTTAAAACTAATTGTTCAGCTGTAACTTAATGGGGAGAAAATGTAGGTGACAGAAGCTGAAGATAAACATATGGAGAAAAAGATCAGACACTGACAGACCTGTGATATTAGTTACCCACATAACAATAGACAGATCTTTTTTTTCTTTACTTTTCTTTCTTTTTAAAAAAAAAAAAATGAAAAGCTGCATTTGAAAAAAAAAATGTATGTGTAATATGTTTCAAAAAGTATTTGGACGTCAGTTACAATTAGCTGGTGCTCTCTTCAGTGTGGCTGAAATACAATAATACTGCAAAGATGTGGGTCAAAATAATGAACATCTTAAATTAGAAACTGCATTTTGTGTTTATCTTTGTTATGTTTGTGTAATATTTTAATATTTTAGATGATCTGAAATGTTAAGCGTTCCAAACATACACAAAAAGGAAATCAGGAAGGGAGCAATGACTCCAGAGGTTACTGTGAGGGTTTTCTTTTAAATGAAGCACAAAATGCCACAGTATGAGTCAACCTGTCCTAGTGTGAGCTGTTTAGGAGAAATAAAATACCAAATTAACCACTCTCCTGTTAATATAGCATATATACAGCTGTGCCACCATGGGATC